CATCCGTACCGCACACATCCATCCGTACCGCACACATCCATCCGTACCGCACACATCCGTACCAATCCCATCCGGGCTCATCCTGAAGGTACACAAGTCCGGAACAAACGAATAGTTAAACATACTAATCCTTTCTTTAAATTACCATACACCTCCTAGTTCCGTACCTCAATAATCAAACAAACAAGTTCCGTACCTCAATATATTTCAAAACCAAGACTAAACCTTAAAAAGTAGCGCTACCAACAAATTATTTTAGCGCTAAGACTTCCAAATTAAAAAATTCCGCTAAGATATTCGGAACGGAGAAAAGTTCGGAACCAAAAAATCACGGATAAAACCGAACCGATTTTTCCTCGGTAAAAAATCTAAAATTACACAATCAAAGTCAATCTAAAATTACACAATCAAAGTCAACTAACACAATCAGTAAACAATCAACTAACACACACAACTACTAAAGTCAACTATCAAACAAAGAAAATTATCAAATAAAGACAACTATCAAAATCAACCAAGAAAGTCAATTAACAAACTCAACTATTAAACTTTACAACCAAGGTCGACTATCAGAATAAAGTATCAAACTTACCTATCAACATCAACATCAACTAACAAACAAAACTATTATAATAACTCGACTAATAAAGTCCCCAAAGTAACTAGTAAAGTCAACTATTAAAGTAGAATCAACAACTCTTCTAAAGTCCCCTATCAAAGTCATTACTTAGGTCGATTAACAAACTCTATCAAACAAAGCAAAGAATCAAAGTCATCGAATTAAACTATCAAAGTAAACCATTAAGTTCAAAAGTCTACTAAAGTTCTACTCACAAATCAAACTATCATATTAACGAAAGTCAACCTAAAAAGCCAACTAACAAAGTTAACTTAAATCAACTAACAAAGTCAGTAACTTACTAACCTCAACAAAAACCTCTTTCNAGATACCCAACTTCATAAATTCGATAAAAAAATAATTTACGAAAATCTCGTATATATCGTATAAGTAACTACCATATAGTAAGATATCTAATATTATCAACATCACTATACTTTTTTCATCAAAACAACCAAATCTATACAACAACCACTCGCTATTAGATTACTAATACACTCTATCATACATACTTTTTCCCTTTAATCAGTAAAACTATAATTCATAAATTTTTAATATAATATCGTTTATTTACTAGAATTACTAAGTTTAACTTTTATTTTCATTTAATTATATTACCAAATACTATTAATTTAAGTAAAATATAAAAAACTACTAATAACCGTAATTTCACAACTTAAAGTCATTTAGATCACTATTATCAATCATACTAATCAATATTAGTACTTACTTCAGTAATTACAGTACCTTTTCCTACTCTTTCTATTACTTTTACTTAAACTTCCATAACTACTTACTTAATATATTCCGGTTATAAACTTAACAGTCTTCTCTAATATACAGTACTCTCGTTTAGAGAAAAACTAATCTCAATATACAGTACTCTCGTTTAGAAAAAAACAAAATTAATTTACAATCTCTCAGTCTCGAACACTGAACAAAAAACACTACCCAACAGAAAAAATCTTTTTTCTCACATACAAAATCTACTAACAAATATAGTACACAAATAGAGAGTTACTTAAGAATCAACGAAAAAGTTACTTACAGATAAATTTACCTTTGAAAATCAATATATTACCTACCTTTCAAAATAAATTTACCCTTTCTAAACAAAAAATTACCTAATAATAAATTTAATTTACCTTACAACCAAATTTAAAATACCAACAAAAATTTATTGATTTACCTTGTTAACGATGTAAATCTAGTACATTTTAAAGTAATTTATAATTGGTTGCTAGGTAAGTTAATCTTTGTTGTTAGGTAATTCAAAAATTTGCTATGGCAAATTATTTATTTTGAGAGGTAATATAATGTTTATGAAAGGTAATTTATTGATTTTAGGAGGTAATTTAATCAAAATCTGTCTGTATAAAAAATAAGCAGTTACTTAAGAATGCTCGCACATACAAATTTACTATGAGAGTAACATAAGAATGAACACAATAGTATAGTATTACTTTATTGATGTATAAACATATTTTGAAGTGTTAACTAAAATACATCAGTTATAGGAATGACCAAACTAAAATAATACCTAAAAAAAATCTAAAATAATAACTGAAACAATAACTGAAACAATAACTGAATCACGTATAGTAAATCAATAACTAAGTATATAACAAAAATTATTACTAGAATTATAACTAGAATTATTACTAGAATAATAACAAAATCAATAATCAAATTCATAATTAAATCAATAACTAATTACATAACTCAGTTCCAAAACAATTTCCACAAACAAATAGAACAAAATAATAGCTGGATTTCATATTACATTGCATAACTAGAATCTATTACTGCTTTTATAACAGAAATCCTAACTAGAATAATCACTGGAATAATAACCAAATTAATAACCAAATTAATATTAACAAATTAATAACTAAAACAGTATTTAAATCAGTAACAAAAACATTACAAAATAGTAACAAAAACAATATGTAAAAAACAACTAGAACAAATTTAAATTTAAAACTAAAATAATAACTGAAACATTAAGTAGAACAATAACTAGAATAATAGTTAAATCAGAAACTAAATCTATAATGAAAATGATAACTAAGTCCAAAATAACTTCCACAAACAAAATGAAGAAAATATACTAATACTTAGTATCGTCCATTCTTAGGTTCATTTCAAAATTCATAACTAAAATTCATAACTAGAATTTATTCACGTAATTGAACCTGATTCTCTTCCTCATCTGGAAACCTAAACACTTGTGGTTCTACTGGACCAAAAACAATCAATGCACAAATCCCAGTTGTGATATACACCTTAACACCTGTTGCCTTCACGGCATTGAGTGAACTATATTTCAGAAAACTTAATGTATCTCCAACATATCTGATGTACACCGTCTCTGGTTGAACATACTGGAATAGTGTATTTTTTTGAACTCTAATTAATCTTGATTCTATATAATTATTCACTTGGACCAATCTTAGACCCATATTTTCCATTTCACGAAATGTTGCTTCAAAATGATTTCGAAAACTCCTCAGATATGGATTTTTGACCATATTATTGTGCACAACAAAACCATCAACATAGACCATATCACCTGGTAATGACACAACTTGTGAAATTTCTTCATCTTCTTCAATTTCTTCATCTTCTTCAATTTCTTCATCTTCTTCATTTTCTTCATCTTCTTCATCTTCTTCAATTTCTTCAACTTCTTCAATTTCTTCATCTTCTTCATTTTCTTCATGTTCTTCAATTTCTTCATCTTCCTCATCTTCTTCAACTTCTTCAACTTCTTCAGCTTCTTCAATTTCTTCAATTTCTTCAATTTCTTCATCTTCTTCATCTTCTTCATCTTCTTCAACTTCTTCAATTTCTTCAATTTCTTCATGTTCTTCAATTTCTTCATCTTCCTCATCTTCTTCAACTTCTTCAACTTCTTCAGCTTCTTCAATTTCTTCAATTTCTTCATCTTCTTCATCTTCTTCATCTTCTTCATTTTCTTCATCCTCAATATCTTGACGTTCATTTGTAATTGAACTCTTTTCATAGTAAGGAGTTGGAACTCTATCCCTAACCGACTTTGGTAAATCCGAGCCACTGTAAACATCACTATCTGCATCTGAAGATTCTAAGTTTTGATCTCCAATTCGTTCCATGTTTAAGTTTTTTGATGCAAATTTCCAACAATCGCTTTTTTTTCTGCTTGACCAAGGGTTTGACGAATTGCAATTGTTTGTATTTGACCAGTTCCAATTATATTTTCTTGATTGACCATTTGATATTAACATTGATATTGGTTGAGGTTCATAGTCACTGCCTGAACTATCTGAATCACTACCTGTTTCAAAACTGTCAACACGGTTTATATCTAAAACTAAATTTGATTGCATAATGTATTTAAAGGTAACTGTTGATAAAGTTGATAATGAGATTTAAAAAAGGTAAAAAAAATTTTTAAAAAAAGATGAAATTTGAGCTAATTATATAAGAAATTTAAATCATTTGGGTACTGGTGATTTGAATGTTTAGATTCATATAATTTTTGATACAGTACACCTGAAACTAATCTATTGTTCAAATATTTTAAATGTTCATTTCGTGTAATATCTATAAACACGTCTCTACTTTTTTTTTTTTTTTCAAAATCAATTATTTATTAAACTAGTAGTATAGCATGCCAAACATTAAAGGAGTAAATTTAATTTGTAGAGAAAAGTTCTCTAACTAATAATTTCTACATAATTTGGTATCTTTAGTTTTAATTTTCATCAT